CTGGAAAATATTCAGATATTTGGAAACTATATAACACCCTTTGAAATAACTCATGAGACAAAGAAATCACAAGGGAAATTAGAATTTTTTTTTTTTTTGTGACCGGTAAGTGGATCACTACCCTTGGCTTGGTGTCGTCCGCACCATGCTCAGCAAGTGAGCACGTAGGCCATCCCTATATAGGATCCAGCATCCAACCCGCGGCAGGAGCGCCGCTGTATACCTAAGTGCTGCACTCTCCGAGTGCGCCACGGGGCTGGCCCTAGAAAATATTTTTAACTCAATAAAAATGAAAACACAATNGTCCCAGAGAACACCAGCAGGATGTCCATGTTCCTATAACTGCAGTTTAGAATAAATGTTGGGGGTGGTGGGGAGCACATGAACCTTCTTTATAGTCTAAGGGTTAAAAGGACCAAAGCATAGACCATGATTTGCCCTTCACAATGGTCATGTGGCTCAAACACAGAGGGGTAGGTTGGCATGGTCAGTCTGTTTCTTCACTGGTGAAATGAGCATAATAATTACATTATGGGGGTGTCGTGACTACTAAATGGGAAAAGATATGTGAAGTGCTTAGAACAGTGTCTAGTACATTATAAAAGATGACAAAATGATAGTGATAATAGTAGAAGTGGCAATTACTGTTTAAGCCAATGTTCAGTCAATGCCTATGATGAAGTTCCAGAAAGCAGACATCAAATAACCGTACAAATTTGTACCTGCTTTGTCTTCAGCAAAGGAGATGATGAATTTGCTGTAAGTACTGATTAGCCCTGGAAAGGCACAGAGCTTGGTGCTGCCTAGGCAAACATCCTGTTTCTTCCATTTCTTGGTTTTTCTATCTTCCTGCAAAGCCGTAAGTCGACTAGATGAAAAATAAAACCTTATATTTTAGGAATCCATATTTCCACTCTGCAGGATATTTTCCCACCAAGAATCAGGGAATGCTTGACTACTAGGACCAGGTCTCCCATAAAGAGATCAATAGCTCACCTCCCCCAAGAACCAAAAAAGCTGCTTCAGAGATACCTCAGTCACCCATTTGCCATAGGTGGGAAACCCATTTTCTTTTTTTTTCCTTTTTGTCTTTTTTCGTGTCCGGCAACGGATCGCAACCCTCAGT